TCCATGTCCCAGTGAAGTGGGAACACTGGAGAAAATTTCCCGAACTTCACCCAGTGCCGTAAGTGCCAGAGACGGGGTCACGGAACAAAACATTGCTACATGTCACCACAATGCATGAATTGTGGTGATTCCTCTCACGCAAAGGACTACTGTGCTACGAAGGAAGATCCTAAGAAATTTAAATGGTCAAATATTGTGGGGAAAACCAATCAAATTTTTGGGAATGTAAAACTTGCAAACCCAAGCAACACACATGTGTCATAATAAGTTGGTGCAACTTGATTGTGATTGAAATAAGTTATATACAAGTAACCACAACTGTTCAGTGGCAAATATGCTGCTTGGGAAGCGATCTCACAATTTCGTTTTAAGTGACAGGTAGGAAACGCTCCACGTTCCCTGCCAGGTACTAATTTCTCTACTGATAAAAACGGTCAGCGAGGAACAAATGCTACATTCATACCTGGAAGTACAAACAACTCCCCTGCTTCAAATTCTTCATCTATATTGTATAAATTGAGCTGCCTATGCTATTGCAGCTGGTAGAAATCGAAATCAAAATTCTAGCCAATATAATTCTAACGGGAATTTGGATAATTTTGACTTTGGAAGCATTACTGAATATTTGGTCTTATGTAATTCTCGGTGCATTACTTATCCTTTCGCTTGAATTAAATTGCTATCCACATAGTTTCTGTAAAAGTGTTGTTTATCGCAATTACTGCACGGAAGGTACCAATAAAAAAATCAGTAAGCAATTTTTGTTTGTAAATATGTTTCAGACTGTATGGTGGTTGATATACTAAAGATCAGAATTCATGGATAATTTGGAGAGCTTAGAACATGTTTTATCCACGAAAGTGGAACCTAAATGATGCGCATAAACTCTATGAAATTGTGTGGATAATTGCTGCTGAGGATGTCGTGAAAGTTTTGGTTGATCTTAAGGATTCCATGATATGATCTTTAGTGAGATTTGCCGAACCTAGAACGTCTTAAATACACGAAAATCGATCGAAAGAGATGCACTTCGGCTCCATGAAATTGTTTGGATATGTTTTGTTGCTAGGTACATTGTCTCAGTCAATGTTGATCTAGTAGATCAATTGATCTAAACTCCTGTATGATTTGGAGGACCTAGAACATCTAATATATATGCATAGAAATTGTTCGTAACTGATGCGTATAGATTCCAGGAAACTGTTTGGACATGTTTCGTTGCTATGGACTTTGTCTTAGTCGTGGTTGATCTACTATTCATTTGATCTGAACTCCAGGACGATTTGGAGGATCTAGAACATCTTATATACATGGAAGTGGATCGTAAACTATGCACATATACTCCATAAATCTGCTTGGATATATTTAGATGCTAGAGTCATTACCTCAGTTGTGGTTGAAGTACTTAATCTAACGATCTGAGCTCCACGACGATTTGGAGAACAGTGAACATCTTATATATGTGAATAAATCGTAAATGATGTGCATACACTCTATGGAACTGTTCGGAAATGTTTCGATGCTTAGGGTGTAGTCTCAGTCGTGGATGATTTAATAGATCATTTGATCTGAATTTCAACACGATTTGGAGAACCTGGCACATCTTATATACATGTAAATGGATCGCAAATGATACGTATAGACTTTATGAATCCGCTTGGACATGTTTCAATGCTATTGAAATTGTCTTAGTCGTAGTTGAACTTGTAGATCATTTGATGTGAATTCCAGGACGATTAGGAGAACCTAGCACATCTGATATACATATGAAGGGATCATAAATGATGGCATATTGACTCAATGATTATTCTTGGACATGTTTCGGTGATAGGGACATTGTTCCATTCTAAAGTTGAGGCCCCGTAACGTGGGTAGATCACCTTTTCGTGGTACGTTACGGGATTTAAGATCTACCACCGATTCCTAGTCTTGACTACTTCAAAGTAGAGCAACAAGGATTTTCCAGTAATTAAAGGAACACATCTTAGTCCTTATTACTTTTTATGCCTTTTTGATAGTGATGATCTTGAAACAAGGAAAAAATGAGTTAGTTAGTCTTCATCTATGTGATTCCTAATCTTCTATTCGTTGTTCCATAGTTTGAAGTGGTTAAGACTAGGGTTCTGATGCATGGTCATTATCGGTGTCATTCCTTAATTTTGTTGCTCCAATCCAATCCAATTTTGACTGACAAAGGGCCGCGCGGAGGGAGTTCCAACTCCGAAGGGTATAAATAGCGGGACCTTTCAATTAGAATCGATTCCTTGCGATGAAGGCAAGAATGACAACTGTATCAAAACCGAATAATTCATCATTTCTCAATAGTGATGGAGTAATACGACAGTCACTAAACTAAGGACACGGGATATACTGCAATAGAACAAATTACTGGTCAGTGGTGTTATATCCCGAACAGAGGAATAAATTAAAGGTTGAACTAATAGATCTAATGATCTAATCTCCAGGGCGATTTGAAGAACTTCGAACATCTTATAAACAAAGGAATATGATCTAACTGATGCGCATTGGCCACGAATATGTTTGGAATATGTTGCTGCTGCTGTTGCTAAGAATATTTTGCAAGCCCTGGTTGATCAAGTAGATCATATGATCTGAACTCTTGAACGATTTAGACGACTTAGAATACGTTTTAGCCATGAGAATGGATCTAGAATGAAAAATCTAGATTTAATAAACATGGCATAGTACCATACCATACCATAGAGAAAATCAGTGCCCAGATGATTTTAACGATATACCTAAGAATAAGCACTCCAGGATGGTTTGTATATTTGCCTTTTGATTAGAGTTTCTATGAAACCTTTTTCGGTGGTTCATTATGCTTCAATCAGTACTTAAAATATGTAAAGAAAAAATTCTTCCCGAAAGAGATAGAGGGGCGTATCATACCAGTTTACCCTACTCCAGTGTTAACCGGACTAGTAAGCAGTACAGCGTTTTCAAGCACGAAATGTCTCTGAAATATAAACCCAAGCTGAGAAGATGCTCAACTAGCGACATCTTTGAAGATATTCTGCATTGAACGAAACAAAAAAATCTACCATTCGTCTCCATAATTATCCTGCGGGTTACTAAATAAGTAAATACGTCGCCGAAAATTGTGAGTTGGAACAAGATAGCCTCTTCCCAAGAGCATAAGGTAGGTAAATAGCCAACATTCTAAATTGAGACAAGAAAACGTACGAGAACAGAGAGATTTTAGCTGCCACCTAATCAACCCAGTAAAACATCCTGAACTTCCGGACGAGACCCGTACCTGGTGTTAGCTTTGAGTTAGTTTCGGTTAACTACAATCTACACAGCTCACAGCAGCATCCTTTTAGCTGTAGGTAACTATGTACAGTTTGTGTGCCACTATAACCAATCCCGCCGAAAATCGACCTCGGAGGACACGGGATTCCCTATCGTGTGAGAGTCAGGAGAAGCAATTTCACTTTGCTTCTGTTGTTTGCTGCTGATGCTGCTGTAGTAGCAAATTTTGTGTTTATGTGTGTGCATACACACACAAGCACACACAAACACGCAGATAGAGAATGGGGGGTGTAGGGAGTAAACTCATAAATACCTTTCTTGCTTTGGACATGTACTTCTTCGCCTGAACCAGTTCCTGTTGACCTTGTGCCACATAGTTCCCGCTTTGCTCAACATGGTACTCAACTCGGTCCACCAGATCGCCCTTTCGTTCGGCGATAGTGATGATGATTCGGGACGTTCGGTGATGGTACGGAGATCCGCAGTTGATTGCGATTTTGCAGACGGGGAGGCAACGGCGAGGAGATTCATTTTGCGACGGGGCGGTTGAGGGGTTCGGTTTGATTTAGGAGATTTGGGTGTGGTGAGGATTTCACAGGAACGGGAATGGGATCGATTTAAGCGGTTATTTCGAGAAGAGCGAGCAGGAGGAGCAGGAGAAGGAGGATATTTACAGTATCGAGAACCCCCGCCGGTAGCAGCCGAAGATGAGGAGGAAGAGGAGGAGGCGGCGGCCACGTGACCGTGTTCCGAGGAAGAGAAACTCGGTAGGATCCGTAGGAGAAATTAAGAGAGAGAAAGTTGTAGCAGTTGTTGTTGTTGTTGGCGAGGTTTTGTTTTTGTTGGTTTAACCATGGTTGAAATGAGTTTTAGGTTAGATCAGCATTGGCGCAAGAAGGGTTAGTCAAATTGGGTTAGTTCAGATCGGAAATCGTCAGTTGGTTGCCGTGATAGGTTTTTGCAGCCAAGATATTGTTCGATAGGTGCAGGTTACCACCATTCCAAATAGATGCAGAACACGGTTTTATCGATACAATCCCACAGCATAACAAAGGTAACAGTGGTACCAAGTGCACACAGATGAAGACCATCCATGATTGATGACACGCGTGATATTGTGATAACCATAATTTCCCGTAGATTAGTTCCACCGAGCACCGAAATTGTCACACATACACCAACATTAACCCATTTAGTGTAGTGATATCAGGTCACATACACACACACACAAACACACACATCGCGCACATACAGATTACGCAGCAATAGTAGCATTTATTTAGTTTTATTTAAAAAGCCAGCATGCAATTTACACAAAAGAAAAAACATGCAGTTATCGCACGGACAGTGTAGATATTTCAACAGTAACCATCCCATTCATAGCCAAAACATGCATGTTTAGTTTAAGTAATAACATTGATTTATGTAAGGTTAATATTTATAAGCCAGAACAGAAAAACGGAACGGAAAATAATTAATATTTATTTTCGAAGTCACACCCGCACGCGTGTGTTGGTGTGAGTTAGAAAAGCGAAATCGTAGGAAATATGGGATAATTTGGGATTAAGGACGGATGTAAACGATTTATGTTTGGTTTTTTTTTCGTTGGTCACATGACGACAGGATGAAGGGGAAATTCGCAGGATTCGGATCGAACGTAAAAATGGAAAGAAAAAAAAAGAAAAAGAAAAACACACATTAGTTAAGAAGTCGTCAAGTTTACTCACCCGGCGGGCTTTGCTTTGATATTTAAGCGCTTTCTTTGTGTCTTGTGTCGCTGTTTGGACATAATCCATTGCGTGTTCAACATGATATTCTATACGATCAATCATTTCACCCTGTGAGTGGTAATAGAGAAGAATAGGAAACGGCAAACGGTAGAGAAGGGGTGGCATTTTCAAGGGGTGTGAGTTATAGATCATACAGAAGACCCCCGAATAGCGCGGTGGGTGGTGCAGTCCACCCACCGTAATTTCTCAGCTGTCTTCCAACCAACTGCGCTGATTTCTGTAGGTGATTTATGGCTGAGCCTAGTCACATACGAAAAATAAGCTCAATTGGATGGAGGACAGTCGAGAAATTGCGGTTGGTGGACAAAACCTATTCGGGGAATTCATGTACTCTGTTGCGCCGCTATTTGAGATTTCTGCTGCTTTTGAAGGGTGTGGGTGTGAACAGTTAGTGAAATGTAGTGGTTTTGGTGGGTTTCCTTTCGCTGACCAGACCACATGCTTACTGAGCTATCTTAACACCAAATAAGGATGAATTCATTTCTGGGTCTTCTTAAGCAGTAACTAGCCTGAGTTGGGAAGAGAGCTTCTCCTAGCATAGAATACAGGAAAGTGACAAACGTATTTGTGACTTTCTTTTTACAATACACGCAGGAGTAGAACATTTATGCAACATTATTTACAGGACTAGCAATGGAGAGGCAACTTGGAAGAGCAGTAATGGGGGTGACTGCGGGACCGATTTTCCCCCGGTTTTCGTAGAATGATAAAACATTGATTTTATTTCAATAAACAGACGTGTTGTAAGAGGATTTCTTTACAGAATTTCCATTTATCAACTTCTAGTTTTCTAATTTTCACTACGTCAAGAGCAATTCACATTCTCAAGTATGACGCAAAGCATTTTCGCGTCAAATGGCGAATCGATCAGACTCGACCTTCTCCGATTTGTATGGAACTGTGCATAATTGTTTCTTATGGGCATCATTCACATTTGGTCGAGATTTCACTATTTTCAAGCATTTTGAGGCAACGTTTTCTTGTGTTGTGTGTAAATGTAGTTCCACGTCAAATGACAAATCGGAAAAACTCGTCCACTTTGTATGACTTTATCAAGTACATACCTTGTTGTATACAATTTACCATTGTATGAAGGGCCCAAAAACGGAGGGTGGACCCGTAAGCATAATAGCTTACGCGTGATCCACGAGAGCAAAAAGGATCTTATTCCAATGATAAAAATGTTCCAACCCGATACAGAACAAGCCATCATGCAAGGGGATGTCCCAATGAGGGGGCAGAAGAGCCCACCTTCAATTCACGAAATGTTAACAACAGGGAGTTGTAAATTCCACTCTCCCCATCCAAATTGCTTCAATTAGGCGCCATTAGGCGGGTTACTAGGCCGAAAGCCATTAGGCCGAATGGGTCATAAAGTCATAAGTAATATATTGAACACAGAATGTTCTTCGAAACAATCTTCCAAACACTCTGGGAAGAATCTGTTAGAATTTTTTATCAGAGCTCTGTCCGCGGAGGGGTTTTGAAGAAGGCAATGGAAGATTCTGTTAGATTTTTTTAAGATCTCTGTCCGAAGACTATAAAAAACTTGAACTTTGGAATATTTCCAAGTTTTTCATTTCTTATCATTCTATGCATTGGCTGAATGATTTATTAAGCTGAAAGCCATTAGGCCGAAAATTGAAAAATTATAGAATGAATTCAGAATGTTCTTTGAAACAATCCTCAGAACACTATGAAGATGGCAATGCAAGAATCTGTTGGATTTTTTTCAGACTTCTGTTCGGCGTCCCTTACAAAAATCTTGAACATCGGAACAATTCTATGATTTTCAATTCTCGTCATTCTATGTATTGAAACAAACATTTAAGATTGCAATCCAAGGAAAAAAAATGGATCGTGTATTTGATCATGATTATAAGATAAACTTGATAAACTTAGATTCCAATTTTGAAAACACTGGGCCGAATTGATCATTAGGCCGAAAGCCATTAGGCCAAAAATTGATAAATTATAGAATGAGCTCAGAATGTTTTTTGAAACAGTCTTCAAAACACTCTAAAAAGAAACTGTTAGAATTGTTCAGCGCTCTGTCCGATGTCCCTTACATTGAGACTTTAAGAATTTGAAACACATCCATGATTTCCAATTCTCATGATTCTATCTATTTAAACAAACCTTTGAGATTTCAATTCAAGGAAAAAAGTGGATCGTGTACAATCCTGTGTAAGATTCCAGTTTTGAAAACACTAGGTCATTAGCCCGAAAGCCATCAGGTCGAATGAATAATTAGGCCGAAAATTGAAAAGATTGAACTCAGAATGTCATTGAAGATTTTTCATGGGAGATTTTTCTTTCTTTCAAGGAATATTGAAGCAATAATGTATTGCTGATCATTAATATCTTAGACCAGAACAATACAGATGTCAGATGATGAAATGGGAACAATTATTCAAATTTCGGCCCAATGGCGTTCGGCTCAATGACGTTTGGCCTAATATCACCGTGCAGCAATACAACTTTAATTTTACGTGAAAGTATTTAATAACCCATCTGTCAATTGAAATACACTGACAACGGACAAGAATATAAATTTACATGAACGTGAAAATTTCAGTTTTAAATTAATTGAACTACTGATCGATAAACGTATAGGCTATATTCAAAAACCTGCTCCCCTTTGTAGTTAAAAATTACAGAATATTTATATGTATGTGTTATAACAGCAAAAAGGTGATTATTTTTCATTTAATTCCAGATCGTAATTTGTATCCAGGACAGATACGTATTTCGACTACAATGTGCAATCACTTTATAAGTGTCATTGTCACTTGGGCTACTTCGGGCACTTCGACAACACTGTGCAGTCTTCGTCAGTGTCGGTCCCAAATGGGAACACTGATGAAGACTATGCATTAGGATGGGTCAAGTTTGTACGGTGGATCACAACCCCTGTTCCACACTGCTCCTCCGATGAGGTCACCAACAACGGTTTACAATTTTAACGAATTTCGTTATGATCTGAATTTGCGGGAAATTTTCAAATTGTGTATGTGAAAATCGTAACGATCCGATTCATTTGCAAAAAAATAAATATCGCCTAAATTTATGCAAATCTCAGAAATAGATTGGGATTACTATGAAGAACAACTTTTTCGAAGACTGCAAATCGATTAGACTTCTGAGAGAAAAAAAATTTGTAATAATTCAAACCTATTGCTCGGCGCATACCTACAGGCGTGTATATGAGCTTGTAGGTATGTGTGGAACAGTTGGTTTAAAATGAAAGATTAATAATTTATTGTACAAAAATCAAATCGATTTGCAGTCTTCGACCAAGTTGTTTTGTATAGTATCCGTAGTAAGTCCTAAGAGGGTTGGTAAAATTTGAGATTTTTGGACAGCAAATGAATAGGGTCGTTCCGTTTCCCATACATTTACCCATTTCAAATTTAAAATTCTCCCACAAATCGAGATTATAACCAAATTCGTTCAAATTTTGCACTGAGGGTTTTAAAGTTGACCCACCTTACTGCACGTTGTAGTTAAAATATGTATCGGCCATGGATACAAATTATCTGGAATAAAATGGAAAATAATCACCTTTTATTGCTCTTGTGAGTACTTCACTAACATCCCAATTCCAAACATTCATGTTTGATATGGAGCTATGATCAATCATTTACATTTGTGTTGAAGTTCGGCCTTTTCGAATCTCGTAAAAAATGGCTCGATATTCTTCAACAAATCATATTTCGACAACGTCACTCCCAATCAAAATGACATCTGAGACAAAGTTGCAGGCAATATTTTTTTTCTGGAAACAGATTTCTAGTAATTTGGGTAAAACATCCAAAAAATTACCATCGTTAATATTTTTTGGAATAAGGTTCATTTCATATGACAAATGGTTTTATTCAAATTGAGTCCGTTTTATCATTAAAAAAAATGCTTCATCCCAAGTTTTATCATTCTACGAATCGTTATCGAGAGCAGTTGAACGAACCTACAGCTGGGTTATATGATGAGTAGTACTAGCATTATTTGTACACTTTCAACAACAAGCCAAAAGGTTTTAACAGTTAGAGTCGATATCACGACTTGGAAAACAGTTAGTTCAACAGGATTTGATACTTTTTGTTTCTTTTGTTTTAATTCTTAGCAACAATGACAAGGAAAGAGAGACAGATAGTCAATAAGAAACAAACGGCCAGCAGTCACAAGTTGATACACAGGTGTGAGAAAAAGAGACAATACAGATCTACGATTACGACGGTTTACATCACTAGACAAACGCGTGAAAAGATCTAATGAGTCAACTGTAAACAATTACTTTAAATGTCGATTTCTCACCAATGACAACACATAGACGCAAACTAACTACACCATCTGATAGAGTAAACTTCTTCTACCAAATGCTGCTTTTGGTTTGCCTGAATGAATCTCCATCCGCGGGAAATCAACGTTTAAGCTGAAAGGGGCCACCATTAATTTAAAAAAATTCAAAAGCAGTTTTTTACGTTCAAACCCAAATTTACGTTCATGAAAATGTATTCATTGAATTCAGAATTTCAGTTTCCAACGATAAAACTGCTTTTGAGTTTCCAAAAAAGAATTACGTCCCCACTCCGCTCAAAGTAATTGTTTACATGTGGCTCATTGGCCCTTTTCACGTGTTTGCCTAGAATTTGTTTGTTTTGCGTGATTTGATTTTTTTTTTCAGCGATACCACATCACACATCAACAGAGAGAAAGAGACAGCGAGGAAATATAGGACAACACGCACACAGAGAACATTCCGTCGATACTGCTCGGGCGTTAGCTTCGTTAGCGATCGTTTAGCTTCTTCGGGCGCTACCAATAGATGCAAGGGTGTCGTGTGGATGGAATGGTTAGCGGCCTAGTCGTCATCGTCGTCGTTGGTAGTAAGCCTCCAAAGTAGCGCTTGAGGATCAACGCAAAGTCCTGGACCCCGCGGAGGTGTGAACCTCTGGGATCGCGTCTGTTTTTAAGCATTCTGATTCTAGCATCAGGGTAGGAGCTGTGTCGAACAACACCATCGAACCGGTCCGGTTTAGGGTGAATTC